AGTGGGTCTCTGAGTTCTAGGCCAGCCTGCTCTCCAGAGCGAGTTCCAGGGAAGCCAGGGCTACATAGTGAGACCCCATCTCAAAAATGTTATTTTATATGTAGGTGTATATAGGTCTGTTTGTATGTGCATGTGGGTGCCCAAGGAGGCCAGAAGAGGGCGACAGATGCCTGGAACTACAGTTGTAGATTGTTGTAAGCGCCCAGATGTGGGTGCAGGGAACCAAACTTGGGTCCTCTAGAAGAGCAGCAAGTGTTCTTAAGCCACGAGCCATCTCTCCAGCCCTAGTGGTTTTATTTTCGTGTGTGTGTGTGTGTGTGTGTGTGTGTGTGTGTGTGTGTGTGTAAAGAGTCCCTGTTAGAGAGTGGTGAGATAAGGAGGTAAGAGGAGGGAGTGATTGATTCCTGTCCTGTCTCCGCAGAGGGCCGGAAGTCAGTGAGCACCTTCAAGGCCTGCATGAAGTTCAGAGACTGCTACTCAGGCTTCGTATCCACCACCATGAGTCCCAATGACTACATGGTGTCCAACGCCCACTGTTGTCAGAGTGACGGCTGCAACCGCGGCTCGGTGCCCCGTAAGTGCGGCCCCAACCCACTTCAGCAGGCCTGCCCCTGTGACATCTGCGGGGCCTCCGTTTCCTGACCTGCAAACTCCGCCAACCAACCCCGTGCTCCCCAGGTGCCGAGGATGTGGGGGGTAACAGTTCTTCCAACCTGCTTTATACCCTGTCTTCATTCACAGCTCCGCCGAACAATCGAACCGAGAACGGCCTGATGTGCCCCTCCTGCATTGCGCCCTTCCAGGAGACATGTCCCGGAACCCAGGCAGCCCGCTGCGTGGGCCCGGAGACACACTGCATCTATTTTGCTGGCAATGTGCAGGCTGGTGAGCTGCTGCATAGACTTTGATGGGGCGGGGTGTGCGTGCGTGCGTGCGTGCGTGCGTGCGTGCGTGCGTGCGTGCGTGCGTGCGTGAAATAGAGGTCCACACTTCCCCATTATGGGCGATGAGGGGCAGTTCCAGAGCACTGGACGATGAAATGATGGGGCAGGGCTTGTAAATGTGTGTGTGTGTGTGTGTGTGTGTGTGTGTGTGTGTGTGTGTGTGTGTGTGTGTGTAATAGAGGTCCACACTTCCCCACTATGGGCGATGAGGGGCAGTTCCAGAGCACTGGACGATGAAATGATGGGGCAGGGCGGGGATGTGTGTGTTAGACTCCTGGGTCGGGAAGAAGCTGACTCCGTTCTGAAATGCCGTCACAGGTATTATCAACACAAAATTTGCCACGAGGGGCTGTGCTACCGAGAGCGCCTGCCATACCAAGACTGGAGCGGAAGTGCCTTCGGCCTCCTACCTCTACTTCCTGCGCCGGGCCGACTGCCTTCCAGCCCCCTACCCCCCTGGCAGGGGTGAGTGAAGAGCTAAGGGGTGTGTGCCTTGAGGTCCCCATTTGTCCTCAGCCTACAGCTCTCCAGGCGCCTGTGAATTAAAACATGAACAGAGCAAACCTCAGTCCTTGTGACCAGATGCATCTTGGGAAGGTGGGTGTAAACAGTACGGGTCCTGACGTTCCCCTCGGACCCAGTTCAAAGGCTGAGGATGATCGTGAGTTCAGGACCAGCCTGAATTCAGGTTGCACAGCCAGACCCTGTCTCAAAAACAAACAGAAAAAGGAACCAGGCTGTGGTGGCGCAAACCTTTAATCCCAGCAATGGGGAGCACTAGGGAGGCAGAGGCAGGTGGATCTCTGCGAGTTTGAAGCCAGCCTGGTCTACAAAGTGAGTTCCAGAACAGTCAGAAAGCCACACAGTGAGACTGGGGTGAGGGTGGGGAGGCAGGTCAGCCTGGGCTACGTGAGAACCTACCCTTTTAAAAAGAAAAAGGAGTGGCCAGGTGGTGGTGGCGCACACCTTTAGTACCAGCACTCGGGAGGCAGAGGCAGGCGGATCTCTGTGAATTCGAGGCCAGCCCGGGCTACGGAGTGAATTCCAGGACAGGCTCCAAAGCTACAGACAGAGAAACCCTGTCTCAAAAAACCAAAAAAGGGAGTGGAGAGATGGCACAGTGGTTAGGAGCACTGGCTGCTCTTCCAGAGGACCCCGGGTTCAATTCCCAGCCCCCACGTGGCAGCTCACAACTGTCTGTAATTCCAGTTCCAGGGCTTCTAACACCCTCACACAGACACACATGAAGGTAAAACACCAAAGAACATAAAATAAAGATAAATAATTATTAAAAAAAAAAAAGAGAGCCGGGCGGTGGTGGCGCACGCCTTTAATCCCAGCACTCGGGAGGCAGAG